AGATTTACATCAACATTGTTCCCAAATAACTTAGTTTTTTTCATGTCTAATTTTAGGCCAGAAGTGAGTTTCAAAATTATTAGAATTCTCTTAATGATTCTAATATGTTATTCTCCAGTAGAGGAGAAGAAAATTAAATCATCAGTGAACTATAGGCTTGATATATCGAACCCCCGCTACCCACCACAACTCCATAGAAAAGTATAACTTCAAAAACTCTAAGAATTAGAACATTAAAAGCTTTCGTAATAAGGTTAAAGAGCAATGAAGAAATCCAGAATTCCTATCTCAAACCTTTTTTAATATTAAACATTTTGGAAGGGGATTCATTTATCAAGACTGAGATGGATGTTGTGTGTTGTATTCTAGAAATACTCTATTGATAATAGCCATAAAGTAATGGAAATCATTCATATATATGCCATGATTTGGAACAATGGCCTCAAATATATTTATAGTAGAAAATGAGACTAGTGTAAAAAGGCTAGCTATTCTTTACCAGCTCCTTTCCCATGCTAACAATATAACTAATTTCCTTTCTATTCACACAAGCTAGGGCCAGCTGGCATTCTTCTAAAATTGCATGCACAAAATTCTCCCTACTCTTCTGCTCATTCTCCATCAACAACTTGAAGTTTTCTGCGAAAAAAAAAACCATGCCTTAGCTAAAGGCTTGGTTAGGCCATCGGAAACTTGGTGTGCAGCAGGAACATAGTTGATAAAGAACTCCTTGTTTGTGACTTTCTCTCGAACAAACTGCATATCTAGCTCAACATGTTTTAACTTTACGTGGAACACGGGGTTAGCACTCATTGCGACAACACGTTTTTCACTCCAAATAATAGGCAGGTTAGGGTAATCTTCACCCATATCATGCAAAAACATGTGAATCTACATAACATATAATACCACATTGAAAATGCTTTTATATTCAACTTCTGTGGTGAATCGTGCCACTATTTTCTGCTTCTGAGATCTCCAAGCTACCATGTTGTTTCCAAGGATAACACAAGCTCTAAAAATGAAGTGATGATCATCAATATTGCTGGCCCAATCAACATCTGCAAAAGCTACAACTTTAGTTGGAGAACTCTTAGCACTGAAGACAAGACCACAGTGTAGGGTGTCATTGAGATAACGGAGAATCCTTTTAACGACTGCCCAGTGACCTTCACATGGGTTATGCATGTAATGGGCAACCCTGTGTACACTAAATATTACATCAGGGTGAGTGTGGAATAAGTACAACAATAATCCTACCATGCTTCGAAATTTTTTTGGATCTTCAACTGGTGCACTTGCATCCTTAGACAACTTCATTGCAGCGACCATTGATGTTGTGATAGGCGTAACACAACTCATTTGGGTTTGTTCCAGCAAGTCTTTTATAAACTTTTGCTGATTGAGAACCAGCTTAGTGAAACTTCTTGTTACTTCGATGCCAAGAAAATAATTTAGTTGGCAAGGTCTTTGAGAGAGAATTGATTTCCAAGTTGTTGAAATATATTCTCAATGACGTCGGACAAGTCACCCGTAATAATAATATCATTGACATAGACGAGCATAAAAACACGAGCACCCATATTCTTCCAAATAAATAGGGAAGCATCAGCTGTGGATTCTACAAACCTAAGGAAAACAAGAAACTCTTTAGTTTGGCATACTACATACGAGGCGTTTGCTTTAAACCATAAAAGGCTTTCTACAATTTGCACACCATGGGAGAACCACTCGAGTTTGACTGTTCAAAGCTGGGTGGTTGAGTCATAAAGACTTCTTTACCAAGGTCATCGTTTAAAAAGGTGTTATTAACGTCGATTTGAATAAGAGGTTATCCTTTTGATACTGCAACAACAAGGATCACATTTGCAATAGTAGGCTTAACGACTTGGCTGAAAGTATCTCCAAAATCATACCGTGGCATTTGTGAGAATCCTTTGGCCACCAACTGGGCTTTGTATCATGCTACAGTGCCATCAGCATGATGTTTAACTTTAAATAACCACTTGCAACCTACAGCAGTGCAACCAGCATGTAAGAATTCAAGCCTCCAAGTGTCGTTCTTCACCAACACATTATACTAATCAAGAGCAGCCTATTTCCAATAGGGTATTTGAAATGTATTTTCAATTATTGGGGGTTCCAACTCATCATCAAGGGAAGTAGCCACAAATAGTTTGAGCTTGAGAATGCCCATCTTACTCCTGGTCATCATATGGTGACGTCCTGGAGGCATAGAAGTGGTATGTTGATCAACATCAATATTTCTAGGGTGAGGTAAATGTTGAGTTTGTGTATCTTTAAAAAGCCCAATCTCAGTAGGTCTAGCAGAATATGAAGTCGCACTACTAGGTTTAGACGAGTTTTGTCCTTGCTCAAGTCCAGCTACCATCGATTGCTAAGAGGTAGCATGAGCAGTTTGACCATGGTTACCAATCAAGGACACATCCACATAAGTAGATCACCCATTAAATAAGTGCTCAACACAGTCATCAAAGAACTTTGAACTAATTGAGGAGGCATCTAACCACTACATGCATCAAAATTTTTTTCTAGTATAAAGAAATATGTTTTCGTCAAACATTATATGTCTCAAGATGTAGATGTTTCCATCAACAGCGTGAGGCATTGATATCCTCGATGTTGTGAGATATACCCTAAAAACACACAGGGTTGTGACCTATAGGTAAGCTTATGAGATTGAAAAGGACGAACATATGGAAAACACCTGCAACCAAAGAAACGTGAGTGACTGTAAGAAGGTTGTTTTCCATATAACCTTTCAAATGGGGAAACATAGTCCAATACCCGAGATGGTAATCGGTTAATCAAATGGACTGTTGTTACTATTGCATAGAACCAAACCAGAGTGAAAGCGAAGCATAAGCTAACAAAGTGAGAGCCCTCTCGATCACGTGACGATATTTTTGTTCTACAATGTTGTTTTGTTGTGAAGTATGAGGACATGTAACCTTGTGTTGAATACCTTCCTTCATAAGCATATTAGAGAAATGATGACATTCCCTTCCCCCATCACTATTAACAACCAGAATATTGTTGCCAAACTGAACATAAACCATTTGCTTAAAAGCCTGAAAAATAGTAAAAGTTTGGCTTTTATCCTTAAGAAGATACACCCAGGTGTAACGAGAAAAAGCATCAACAAAAGATATGTAGTACTTAAAACCATTCAAAGTGACGTGAGAAGGTCCCCATAAATATCTGTAAATCAACTGAAATGGCTTTTCATACACTATTATAGATGCTTGAAATAATAAGGCATGGCTCTTAACCATTTGGCATGCAATACATAATGGTAAAGAAGATTTATTAATTGAGCAAACGAACATCACTACATGTAGTATTTAACTGAAGTAAGACATCTCGAGAGGGATGCCCTAAGCGGTCATATTGTGTAATCTAACCCTTGCCCCTTAACAATATTTACTTGAGGACTAGGGACTTTATTATACAGGGTACATGAAGAAGCTCAGTCAATTTTAATAAGTAAGAGGAAGTATAAAAAGGGGAAGAACCAATCCTGGCTATATTCAAAGGCTTACCATCCCCAACCAATAACTTACCAAGTTTTATATACTTGACTCCTTCGGTAATTTCAACATCATTGGATGTAAGGTGATGCGTTGTACCTGAGTCAATTAACCAAGATTTAGAGCCACCATGAGTACCATTTAAATGAAAATTTACATACTCAATAGCCCCGTGAGAGTGTTGCACAGTTTGAGCGGAGCACCCACAACCATGCCTAGATCCAAAGCTGTTGTAGTGAAAGACATTAAAAGACGGCGATGAACCACCAGATCTTTCCTTGTTAGTAGAGGAAGTGACACCAGGGAACGTTTTGTTAAGCCAATACCAACATCGATCAACCATGTGACCAGATTTGACACATAGTTGACACCGGTACTTGCTTCTTCCTCGACCTCGGCCTCCTTGATTGCCACACCCTCCTAAACTAAATTGGGACCGATCTGTCTGGGAAGTATTAGAAGCAGACTGCAAATCGGAGTTGTGAGTATTAGCTTGAGCAATATTTGTACTGATATGGAGATTATCAAATTGCTCAGAGTTTTTTTGCTGTGTTTCAGCATCCACAAGAACAGACACAATCCCCTCCAACGTAAATGGTTCATGATTGGTCGTGATTACAACTATAAACGACCTATACTCTAGAGGCAATCCATTAAAGATGCTGCAAATACGTTCAAACTCTGAGATAGGGCTTCCACAAGCGGCCAAATGCATCACACACTTCTTTAACATGTGATATGTATGCTCTCATGACAAGATCACCCTTCTTGATAGTTTTAAGTTTATAATGAAGATTCATAAGCGTAGTGGTCGACTTACTAGCAAAAAACATATTCATAAGCAAGAGGGAATGATTTATGGTCGATAGAATCTAATATGTGAGAGCATTATCCTGTGCCATGATGATATCATATTGTTCATTCTCCACAGCAGACCCATTATCATAAACAACAGTCAGTAAACCCATTATCAGAAGCAACAATCATAGGAGGAGGCTGAAGGATGCTGGTCAGTAGCTTCTGAAGTCGATGACTTCGAACGGCCAAAAAGACTTGCTACTTCTAGACAATATAATTGTACTCATCAAGGAAAATAATTATCTTCTTGTTCATGAAAGCTTTTCCACCGATCGAAAAACACTTGGAGGCACCGGACTCAGTAATGCCATTGAGAATACCATATTGTATTCTAGAAATACTCAATAGATAATAACTAGAAAGTAATGGAAAACATTCATATATTTACCTTGATTTGGATCATTGACCTCATACATATTTATAATAGAAAAGGAGACTAGTGTAAAAAGGCTAGCTACGCTCTTCCCGATCCTTTCCTATCCTAACAGTAAAACAAATTTTCTTTCTATTCACGTAAGCTAGGGTCAGCTGGCATTCTTCTAGATTTGCATGTACAACACTATGGAAATACGTAGACTAATTCATTTTCACCATCTTGAACCAAAACCCTTTTTTTTTGAAAAAACTCCAAAAAAACCCAATCAATAGTATCATAGCCATTCTTGATATTATCTTTAAACACAATGACTTCACTATTATTTTTTTAATAGAATCGTTTACTTCATTAGCAATAAAAGAGTAATTTGATATCTTCTTTTCAAGAGTAAAATTATAGTGACACTCACAGACTACTTCATTAATACAACATTCATTAATACAACATGATAATTTTCTTAACAGAACACGAGTCAATATCTTGTACATACTACCACAAGGCTAATGAGCTTGAATTCTTCAATTGTTTTTAGCAGGCTACCTTAGGAATTAAGGTAATGAAGGAATGATTTAGGGACTTGCCTATTAGCTGTCTATCATAGAGAGCGATGAAGAATTACATGATGTCATCTTTAAGGATGGGCCAAAACTTCTTAAAGAAATCTAAGTTGAAATCGTCTGGATTAGACATTCGAAACCCATTTACTATGTTGATCGTCGACCATGTCTTATTTTATAAGGGAGCCTCTAAGGAACTGGATGAAAGGGAACTCAACTTGCAAAACTTACCCTTAAACTTTTTAACGGGAAACCTGATAACTTCATTCTAATTTGAACTAAAATGTTTTTCAAAGGCCCTGAAAATTGATTTTGGATCAGTAATATACGAATTACCCAATCGAATGGAGGAGATGCAATTGAATCAATTTCTCGCAAAGGTTAATAGATGGAAAAACTTTATATTTTTATCTCCACCTTAAACCACTTCAGACGTGATTTTTGTAATCATTATCTCTCCTCCATTTAATACCTTTCCCTCAAAGAAACTTTTAAGTATTGAATTGATGAGAAATTAGTGATTTGTCCCCAGGAGACCACAGATCATACCCTAATCGAGAGATTCTACTTTCTATGTTAGAAATCGATTCAAATTCTTTGGCTTGGAATGCACTGACCCAAAATTTTGACAATACTTTAATCGCTCTCAAGACAACTCCGATGTTTTTTCCACTAAACTTGGTGTAAACTGATTTCTCTAATTCAACATACTCTAACTCGTCTATTTAGTGAGATAATCATTTGAAAGGGGTGACCCCCTCGAAGCTTCAACCTCCTTTAAATGCATTGGGTTATGATCAGATAATTTTTTTGACAAAGAACTTTGAGTAATATGTGGGAAGTGTTAAAATCAAGTAATCTGCGTGCGGTAGCAATTAACACATAAGGATCTTGATAGGGTAATTAAATCAACCAAATCAAACGCATAGCATACTTGTTAAGAATTACAATAGAAGAAATGAAAACTTACTTGATGATTCTATTATGATAGTTGACTATCTCAAAAGCAAGAAATAATAAATGTTATCCAATCTCAATACTGTATAATCATCAATTCACCTTGTGATAATATCAAGAATTGTTTGATTCTTGATGAAAGAATTGTTTTCCTTTTAAGAGAGAAAAAGAGAGCCTTGAGGAAAAAATTGTATGCTACGTGAGATTTTAAAAAAAATTGATTCCACTATGTTTTTTAAATCACTATTTTTTTTAAATCACAAAATAACCGAAAGGCCAAAATAAATGAAAGGCCCCTCTACCTTTCAGTTATACATAACACCACTCAAACTTATATTTTCATAGTATGGGACGGAGGGATTTACATCCGATAATTGCCTCCTCAATAATACACTAATCATCACCGTGTGTACAACGACAACAATTCTCAATTACTTAAATTATATGAATCAATATTAGAAATCAAAATTTCTAACATTCTCCAACTTGATTCATATATGAAAAGTATATAACATATTAACATAATTTGAGTTCACTTAAATAATGTAATATACAAGTCACAACTTTGTAAGAACTAAACTAACTGAATCATGGCAGTCACGAGCCTGGCAAACGTCCCGATTCCTTCCATGTATTACAGGTCAATCCAATTCAAACATACACAATTTAATAAGATATACACCTGAAAATATCTTATCCGACAATGTCTTAAAATAAGATTCAACATCTATAATCATAACAAAATATGCATAACTGAAATATGATTTATAGATAAGCAAAATCCAAACAAGCATCAATATCTAGAGTATCAAACAAACATAAATGTGCAAGATATATATTCATACATGTATGACTAATCATCTGTTATACAAGAACTTCGCGACTACTCTTATTTCACTAACATGGCCAATAAATGTCTTGAAGCCATAACGATTAAACTGTATAGAACTATCATTCATCATACTTCTCACCATTTCCATCAATGTACGATTACACCTTTCCACTACACCATTTTTGATGTGGCGATCCATACACTATATAATGCACACAAATGCCCTTAGACTCAAGGAGTTTCTTAAATGGACCTAGAATTTATCCAACTTCTGATGTCTTTCCATAATATTCACCACCTCTATCGAAACGTATTACCTTAACCTTTTTATTTAACTACCTCTCAACCTCCGTAATAAATGTCTCAAGGACATCAACTGATTGAGTTCTTTCATACAGTAAATTCAGTACCTAGAGTAATCATCAATGAATGTGATAAAATACCTTTCACTGCCCCAAGACGGTATATCAAAAGGACCACAAATATCTGTGTGTATTAAATCAAGTAGTCCACTACTCCTTGTAGCAGCATGTTTTGATACATGTTTGGTTTGCTTACACTTAATGCAATCCACACAAGTATCATTCCAATCAGTAAAATCCAATTGAGATAAAAATCCACTTTTAATTAACCTCAAAATCCTTTCTTTTGATATATGATTGAGTTTTTATGTCACAAGTCAGCAGGAGATTCATTGAGTTCATTCCTTTTCATACCAACATCACATTCAACATCAACATTAAACAGAGAATTAACAAAAGTAGAATTTAGATTGAAACAATACAAAGTATCTGACAATAAACCAGTACCACAAAGGTTTGTTCCATGATACAATGAAAAACAACCATGTCCAATCCTAAAATAAAATCCTAAAACATCCAACCTAGAAACAGAAACAAGATTTCTAGAGCAATCTGGAACATATAGACACTTCTCTAGATCAAGGCAATAGCCCCTATCTAACACAATTCTATATGTCTCTACACCTTCAATTCTAGCCTTACCCTATTTCCCATAAATAGAAACCTTTCACTTTTTGGCATTCGATGGATATTTAGGTAACCCTACATAACATTAGAAACATGAGTGGTTGCATCAATATCAAGCCACCAAGTATTAGAAGGTACCTCAATCAAATTTGATTTAAAGCATAAGGAAACAAAATGTATACCTCTCTTTTCAAACCATGCTTTCCTCTTTGGGCAATCAGCCTTCTTGTGCCCATGTTTGTTGCAAAAGAAACATTTCAGTATCTTTTCAACCCATCCTTTCCCTTTACCAGGCTGCACCTTAAATGATTGTTTTCCCTTGTTCCTTCATTTCTTACTTGGAGCTTTGTCGCCACTAGAATCAGCGTTTGAATTACCACAATAGGCAAAGTTGGATTGGAGAAGTTTGACCTTAAGGTCTTCCCTTTTCCTTGCCTCCTCTTGCAAGAGCATAGTCTTAATATCCGAAAGAGACCATTTTTCCTTAAGTTGGTTGTATGTTTTCCGAAATTGCTTGAAATCATCACCCTTACATGATTTCATCATAAACTCAACCAACACCCTCTCACCAAGATCCATATCCAAACTTTTAAGCCGGTTGTAGGTATTCATCATGTGAGTAATGTGTTCTTCCATTGACTGAGCTATAGTGTGCTCTCTATTAGATAAACCATCAATAAGAGTAGCAACAACAGACTTATCCACAATGTTTTTCATAGTACACTTCTTAATTTCAGCCACAAATTCACTCACATTCTGAGTCTTGGGCTGGGAAGGCTTAATATTAGGCGCTATGCTAAACTTAAGAAAGCTCATCATAAGCATATTTGATCTCTCTCACTTCTCCCACTGTTTCTTGTTTTCCTCCAGACTAGTATCGGTCGGTTTAGTGGGCTCATCCATAACTAGAGCTAAATCGAGTCCCAAAAGGCCAATATTTAGGTTGACACATTCGATCCAATCATCATAGTTATGCCCATTAAACTTGATACCATTGGCAGACATATTTGACATAGTAGACACCACTGAAAACATTTACATCTTACATATTAATTACTTTGAATTTAAACCATAATTCAGACTATAACATATACCAAAACATTGCATTTAAATTCACCTTTGGGCTAAATCTAAACACAACCAACAATCATCAAACATGCATTATTGTTATAACATATATTAGGTCAATCATTAAGTTTACTTTAACATACAAGTCATCTTTGGATGCAACTTATATATTAATTAAACAAAGTTCATAACCTACTTCAATTGTTATTAACCATGAGTAAGATCTACCTTTGGGTAATCGTATAACTACATGTTAATAAATATAAATGTTTATTATTCTTAAATGTCATTTATGATGCTACATCAAATAAACATTTATAAACATAATATAAATGATTTAATGAATTTTGAGTGGGCCACTTTGGTGACTAATGCACTCACTAAAATATTAAATATTTACATCATAATCCAAAATTGTTTGATGTGATCCTACACTTCCAACGGAAACTTCACTTCCTAGCAACATCATTAACTCTACTTGCCTCGACAACTTCACTTACCACGGCAACGTCATTCACCATCAAACTGGGATCATATCATTGTTCCTTATCAGTTAACAATCAATCTAACATCAATATCATAATCAATTGTCAATTTGCAACTTCAATTAATCTTCAATAAGAAATACTCAAATTTCTTATGAAACCTTTAATAAGAAAAATACCCAAATTTCTTATAAAACTTTTAATAATAAAAAATACTCAAATTTCTTATGAAACCTAAATTGGTGATTTAATTCCTATCAAACTTGGCTTTGAGGTCAAATGTTAAAATCAATTAATCTTGCATGCGGAAGCAATTAATACATAAGGATCTTGATAGGGTAATTAAATCAACCAAATCTCATGACATAATTATTAAGAATTACAATAAAAGAAATGAAAACTTACTTGATGATTTCATTATTATAGTTGAATATCCCAAAAGCAAGAAATAATAAATGTTATCCAATCCCAATAATGTACAATCCTCAATTTGCCTTGTGATGATATCAAGGCTTGTTTGATTCTTGATGAAAGAATCAGAACCCCAAAACAGAAAGTGTTCTTGTTTTCTTTTTAAGCGAGAAAAAGAGAGAGCCTTGAGAAAAAATTGTCTTCTACGTTATATTTTAAAATAAATGATTCCATTATGTTTGTTTAAATCACAAAATAACTAAAAGACCCATCTACTTTTTAGTTACACATAACACCACCCAATGACCCAAACTTATATTTTCACTGTATGGGACGAAGGGATTTACACCCGATAATTGCCTCCTCGATACTACACTAATCATTACCGTGTGTACAACAACAACAATTATCAATTACTTAAATTATATGAATCAATATTAGAAATCAAAATTTCTAACAGGAAGCTCACCAAGGTTTCAGGATATAAGAGGAATATGTACAACCTACATATTGTAACTCTTGAACGACCACCAAACCAAGTATACGGACT